AGTTTCAAGGAAGAAACGCTTCACAAAACTCGATTCTGTAAAAAAAATTGTCTGCCGATTGCGTTGGATATGCTAAACTTTAAAAGTTTTTTTCTTTAGGAACTCTGTGAAACAATTTTAAAAAGTGCATTTGACACATACTATCACCTCCAGCAGAGATACTTGTGTTGTCAGTTAAGGGGATGAGACATATTGGGGTCAAAGCGAAACGCTCACTACCAAACTTATAAATTTAAAATGTAAGCTGCTCATGGTGTGCATTGACTACGATATTATAGTTTTAAGGTGTTAACAGTGTATGTAGCATGGCTAAAGCTCAAAGTTTCAGCAGATTGTTTAATTGTTTTCTTGATGGGTAGATAGAGATGGTTTAGTAAGTGGTAAGAGGTGATAGTTAAGTCAAGTTTAGTGGACGGTCAAGTGAATTGTGGTAACAAGCACTATTTGTATTGAATGTTGATATAAAACTTACAATTAAATATCTAGTTTAACATTTTCCCACCTAATACTTTATTAAGTTGAAATCAAGTGAAGAAGTGATACGTTGAAGCAAATACCATTTAGTTTCACTTTTTTTTCATCCAAAAAAACCTATGTTAACAAAGCAATGGTTTTTTTTATCAAGTTTGACGAAAACGCTCGTATAGTCGAACAATTTCAGTCTGTAATTAGTTTCGCGACATTCATCTCTTTGATTTCTCAGTGGGTGCACAGTAGTTCAGAGAAACAATGAGTTTTATCAAAGAGGAATCAAGGCCATGAATAGTTAGAAACTAATTAAGGATTTGAATTCCTCAATCGTGGCTATCTATTTTGAAAATTTATAAAAGAATGGTTATTACTGTAGAAAGTGTTTCCTGAATGAAAAATTTAAAGTTCGAATTTTCTAGAACCCGATTACAGATTTAGATTTGTTGTCTTCGATCGTCTTCATTAAAACCTTAAGATTATACCAATCAACTATGTGACTAGATAGTTGAATGGAGACATGAAAACATAGTCACAAACTCATTTTATCTTAAACGACTCTCTCTGCAGTGAAGGGATTAAGTCATATAGCAACGCATATAAAATGAGACTGAGCAAGTTCTCAAGCAGAGATTTATTAGAGCATGCAGATTTTCTTTAATTGAAGTCTTTGGAAATCTTTCAGAATCTTGAAATCTGCTTTTTCCCCCTTGACTAATAGCAAGAATAATTTTGTTTCGATGTGCTTGAGTCTTTCGGTTTGATCATTCAATGCAGGATCGAATAGAATACCTAGTTTAACGAAACTCATCTAAAAGAAACGGTCAAGCATAAGTTATCAAAATAAGAAATGGAAAAAAAATACGAGAATCGTTTTCTAACCTGCACAACATGTATATGCAATGATCAAAGCAATAAATGTATCTTTTATATGTAGTTCTCTTTTACTTATGTTTTCTTTTTGTCACTTGCATTGATAAATCATCATTTTTTTCTCTACGACAACAAGTACAGTGGGTCAAAATATTATTCACCCACCCCTATTCTATTATTTTATTAAAAGAATAATACAATTAAATCGGAAGTTGGAAGTTGTTGCATGTAAATTATCGACAAAGTTTTTTGAATAGTATGCATTTATATCTGCAGTTTGTTTCATTTTTTATGGTAGAAAAAAAAACCAAACGAAGAGAACAGGAATAGATGAATAATTTTTTAATCCTCTGTAAGTGGTTTTTTTTTCATATTAGTAGATATTTATGCTCTCTACCTAGGTAAAAAAAACACGGTTTGTATTCCATTAAATACGATACATAAAAAGGGTTCTATTTTTTTGTAATTCTGCTCGATGAAACACGACCATGCTGAAAAAATCAAGATTGTATACGATGAAAGTACAGTGTTGTGTGTGATGCTGTACTGCGATGACGAGAAGTGCGATAAAATACGGACTGTTTGTGTGCTGTGGATCGTTGTAAACAAGCATGTACCATAATGTTACAACGTAAGGTTCAAATGGCAGTAATCATTATTCTACATAGAAGATACTATTTTTTTCAATGAGTATTTTATTTCCACTTTCTTTGCAGATTATTATAAAATGGGTATTTCAAACAGTAAGACAATAGCTTGTGAACAAATCCAATGCGATCCACATATTTCATTGAACACTCTTCCACGTCATAATTTATCTCTCAATGAAGAACGTATAGAACCGTTCAACTTAATTTGGTTAGATGAATACTCTCAAGATAATTCTCTCGATTCATTACGTACACAAACATTATTTCGAGGAATGAATAACGATAACTGTTTATTTTTCGATAGATCTGATCAATTTTTATTTGAAATTGAAAAACTAACAATGGAACATAGAAAATTATTAGTGGTAATGTCAGGATCATTTGCTAAAGAAGTTCTACCCAAAATTCATAATAACATTCCAACGATAGTTATATTTTGTAGAAATTATAACAAATATACCAGTTTAATGGATAAGCATTTAAATGTTGTTGAAATTTGTACGGAACATGAAAAATTGAAAAGTTGTATACAAAATGAATTACTATCATTAAAATTCAATTTATTTACTAATCAAAAATTTAAAACCATACGACCTTTGAATTCATCAAACGATATTGAAAATAGTGGTGCATACTTTTCTTATATATTGTTTATTGAATTATTGAAACAAATGCCACAAACAAAACAGGCGAAAAATATTATGTTAAAAAAGTGTGAAGATTATCACAGAAGAAATAAAGCACAGATGAAATCCATTGAACTCTTTCGTAATACATATACATCAAATAAAGCTATTGATTGGTATACTCGAGATAGTTTTGTCTATCGATTAGTAAATAGTGCATTTCGTACAGAAGATGTAACATTGTGGTATATATTTCGTTACTATGTTGTTGATCTATGTATACAATTGGAAAATGTTCATAAAGAACAAAATATTCAAAATCCTTTGACACTTTATCGTGGTCAAGCTCAAATGCCAACATATGAATTAGAATATCTTAAATCTAATATAGGTTGTTTGGTTTCAATAAATGGATTTTTCTCATCGTCAATTGATATTGATATTGCTAAAAATTTTATTGCTGGTGCTGTGGATACTGATGATTATAAGGTTGTTATATTTCAAATAACTGTTGATGGAATTAGACTTCAAAATACTGTTTTTGTTGATATTAACAGATATCTAAATGAACCAACTGATGAACAGGAAGTATTATTTAATATTGGTTCAGTTTTCAAAATTGAAAGTGTTAAGTATGATTCTGATCTTGGTCTTTCGATAATCAAAATGAAAGCAAGTGATGACGGTACATATGAAATTAAAAAACGAATTCAACTCAAGAAAAGAGATTTTCGTAAAGATAATATCAATTTAATGTTTGGTCGTTTGTTAATTGACATGAATGAATATTCTAAAGCTGAATCATATTTTCAGATGATGTTACAAGTCTTGCCAAAATCACATATAGATTTAGCTTTAGTCTATGATCATATTGGGGATTTGAATATGAGAATAACCAATTGGAAAGAAGCTTTTACTAATTTCAATTTAGCATATGAAATAAAAAAGAAGATTCTACCGTTAAATCATCTGATTATTGCTATAACATTAAATAATATTGGTAATTATTATAAAGCAATTGGAAATTATGTTCAAGCACTTGAATACTATACACAAGCTTTACAGTGTAAAAACGATCGATTCAATATGGCAAGAACACAACTTAATATTGGTGCAATCTATGCGATTAACAACGATTATGAAAATGCATTCAGTTTATGCATCGAAGCACGCGACATTCTACAACAAATCCATCCATGTCCATATGATGAAATTATTCACTGTCAAGGTATTATTGGTGATATCCATTTAACTCAACAAGAATATAATATTGCTGCTGATTATTATCTTACGGCATTTGAAATGAGTAAAAAATTTCTGTTGACTAGTAATCGTCTTCGAGTTAATTGTATAAAATCTTTAGCTAAGTTATACAATAAGCGAAATGCGAAACAATTGGCTATTGACTTTTGTCGAAATAAACTATCGTTCTACGAAAAATATTTGCCTGAAAATCATATCATTATTGGACATTTATCAATGATACTCGGTGAATTCTATGAAGAAATTGATGATCGAAAGATAAATTCGTTACAAAGAGCATTGCGTATTTTCGAAAAAAATGTTCATCTTGAATATGCTACAACAGCCAATTGTTTAATAATGATTGCTGAATACTATCAAAAGCAAAATGTATATGAGAGAGCTTTAAAATATTATATTAGAGCTATTGAAATACGAAAGAAAATTTATCCGAAAGATCACTCGATTCTACTCGAAACTCAATCTCTAATCGACCTTGTTACAAGTCAGACATAATTAATATTCGATTTTCTACACTGACTAACTGATTAACATATTTCTTATCTTGCATGTATATTATACCAATAGTTTAATATCTATTTCGCCAATAAATGTTTCTTTATAGTGTGGATGCGGGTGTTGTTGAAGAGAAGGCCTGCATCCACACTCACACTCACATCCACACACCCAAACACCCACACCCACAGACCCACCTGCAACCTCGAAAATGTTTTGTGAGGGAGTAATCTTCTATTTATCTCCATTTTCTTGCTCTCCGCAAAAAGGTTATTTCGCTGACCTTCCAGCGATGGAAGCACCGAAAGACCCAAAATATATAGTGATTCGGATGTAGAATTTTATGCTGAATCCGAATATGGAATTAGAAAAGTTATTCAAGTTGAACCTTTTTTGAAAATTAGCAAGAGTCGGTTTAAACCGTGTCTTTTGATGGTATATGTCCTAAATGACCTAGACAGACGCTCAGTCGCATCGTCGGATTTTTATGAAACGGATAACTTTTCGCGCTCTAATTCGATGATGCCAAAGATGAACCGAGAAAAGTTATGGAACAGATTTTTTAGAGTGTCTCCAGAAAATCTTTCCAAGATCTATTGTAGTTTTAAACCAAATAGCATCGCCATGATGTTCAGCATAATCGGAAACCTATTCCCATGATTTTTCCGTTACTTTTACCATTAATATTTGACCATTAAAACTTGATTAACTTTATAAACTAATCAATCCTGGGTTGCCTCACATAAGTTGAAATTCTTTTTTCTTTCCCCGATAAAATATTAATGTTAAAAGTAATGGAAAACACATGATAATAGATTTTCGACTATGCGGAACACGATGGCATTGCTATTTGGTTCGAAATCTCAAAACATCTTGAAAAAGTTTTCTGAAGACCTGTCTCACAACATTTTTCTGTTGTTTTTTAACATCAGCAGATAAAGCAGAAAAATTTGTACATACGATGAAAACTTGACAATGCGACTAGTTGTCTGTCTCGGTCTTCGTCTGGGTCATCTTGGGCAAATATCATCGAAAACCATGATTTTAGCCAGTTTTTGCAAATTTTCAATTTGAATAACTTTTCTGATTCCATATTCGGATCCAGTATGAAATTCTACATCGGAACCATTATATATTTTTGTTTTTCGGTGCTTCCTATGCTAGAAGGGCATCGAAATAGTCTTTTTTCGGAGAACAAGAAAATGGAGTTAAATAAAAGACTACTCCTTTCCAGAGTATCTTTTACACTTGTGATACAGATATTCGTGATCAGCATGGTTGATTACATATTATAAAGTGGATTTGGAAAAAATTAAAAATAAAAAGTTTTTCAGAAACCTCATGTGGAACCTCTGACATGAAAAACCTGAGCGGATAGTTTCGCAAAACTAAGTACCAGAGAATGTTTCTAAGTATCCTCTGACAGAGATCCAATATGAAAGAGCCATAAAGTTTTTGGGCAACGATAGGATCTTATCCGTCCTACTTCTTTTATAATAAATGTGTAATATCGAATAGGATGATATCATATTAGTCGTCCAGTTTTTATTTTATTGCATTGTCATAACTTAGTATTTAACTTGTCTTATGTTGTTGTCGTGTAACACATTGGTTACCAAATAACACGTATTGTGAGATTCAATGAATTGTCATTTAAGCCACCTTCTTTCCTTAAACAAAGCCATGTTTCCTCACAATTATTGATATTAAGGTATATGCATGAAAGGATGAATTGCAGTCGAATTTTTCATTAATAATGAGATTTCTTATTTGACGAATTGTTTTTTCCAAAAAAATTTCGATAATTTCCGTCACCTTCTGCTTGAAAAACATTCTCTCTAAAGAAAAAACGGTAAATCTTGTTCATTTTTTTCTCTGCTTATGTTTTTCTCATCTCGAATCTCAGAATTCTTAAAGGAACTTCACTCTAGCCTATTGCTTTTTTTCTTATTTGAAAGAACATTTGAAGCTGCAGACCTGTTTTTTCTTGAATTACGCTACGCTATTATATCAAGAAAAAGCACTTCTATAATTAGATGAACATTTTTGAGTTATTCAACTTGTCATCTTTTTTTCTCTACATAAAAATTAGCAATTTAATAAGAAAAAAAAAATCTTTTATGCACTGCAGGCTGGCATGTTCTTTCAATTCATAAAAAAATTAAATATATACGATGAAGGTCGACAAAGAGTTTTAGGTTTCCAAATGAGTTATTTTTAAGCCTTGTTTGATGAATATCTGTTGAAAATATTATAGTATAGGACTGAAAATTTCATGCGATTTGAATATATCTGGCCTATTTTTGTACCGGTCTCGGTACGGAGAGAATTATTCCAAAATTTATTCATATTACATTTAGCGGTACTTTTCCAATGATTGTTTTTTAATTTATTTAGTCAATGACCAGCACTTTTTTGAGTCATCTCTCTTGAATAATATTCTGATTAATATGATTTATAAGATAATGCACTTAAAACCATAGAATATTTAACTGTAGTATGATCGAAACCCTTAAATGAATAGATTCAACAAAACTATCTTTGTTTCTTTCACATAAAATTCAGTAATGTCGTTTGAAAATCAATATTCTCTGATGAATATCTGATTACTAAATATTCTTAATAGTATAGCTAAGAAGTACACGCTTGTTCACCCTCAATTTGCTATTGACAAAACGGAAATTTGAATATATTTAGTCAATAGTCGTCCTGACGAACAGTAGGACAAAGATCGTGCCTCCTGCAAATTTCCAATAAGGGAAGTATGTACACTATGAAAAAACAATCCGAATTGAACTTTTTTTTTCTTCGGTTTTCCACCATATGGATTGTTTTTTGGAGTTTAGTAAAATTCTCAGTCATCTTATAACCAATGTATTTCACAATTTTGGATATGGATCATCAATTTACCCACACCTGCACAGTCATTTTATTTGATGATTTTTTAAAATCATGTTGTTTCACTTTTAACAGAACGATCAATTTATATACCAGTCCCAACTTTACTTCAATTGCCAGAGTTTAGCTTAGTGGCAACTTCATGGTTTCTAAACAAAAGCAGTTTAGAAAAATTTAGATTTCGCGTTTGAAGACTGAGAAAAGCGTATATCTTCAATGTGTATGATTATTATCGATTAACAAGTAATAAGAGATTGAAGCAGATTAACGGATAGCATGGAATAAGAACAGATAATTCTCATGTTAAAAAAAAAAGGAAAAAATGTGATTTTAATCGATTTTTTTTCGTCAACTGTTTTGTATGAGAAAGGTCTCTATTTAGTTGTATTTCATCTTATCGTTTACAAATTAGTATAACAGTATGAAAAATTGATCAAAATCGGGTTGAACTCAATTTATATGAGAATTTTCACTATGACTATTGCGGAATAAAGTCCTAATTATAATCGATTATAATTTAGATTTTGGCGCAGAATAATCGGATTATTGATTTTGATAAGGGTCATAGGATTTTGAAATTTTAATTGGTTTAAATCGCTAAAATTTTTCATTGGGGATACAACTGATCATTCATTTTTGATAGCGATATATATATTTTTTATTTTCTGGCTGAAGTAAAAGTTTGAGCTTTTTCCAATTCCAAGGAGTTTCCCGTGGAGAAGATATATCAGTCAAATCTATACGTCAACGTGTTTTGAATATGTTAAAATTTTGAAAACAGAAAAAAGAATGACAAAGTAAAACACGAAATCAATAAGGCTACAAATAAATATCGATGAATATTTCTTATATATTTATGCTTTTTATTATTTTCCATCGTTAATTTGATATCCATATCGAACAAAATTAAACTTAGCGTTGTTCTTCATTTCAATAATGGCACATATAACTCATAATAAATGTCAAATGTAATCAAAAACTGTAAATAATAAATTATCTAAACATACGTAACTGGCTTGTGTATCCACTGTGTTGCCCTACCGCTATTAGAATAGGATACAGGACGGTCGCATCGTCCTCTCCTGTACTCGTCTCTGATTTGAACGCATTAAATATTGCTCAAGAGCGACATCAATCGTTAAATTAGTCTTGTTGGTTACCTGAAGCCAATAGGTAACGAGAAAAACTCTTTTTCTTTTCATATGTTTGTCATACCTTGATTCATACCTTTTTTTTTTCTTTCTTCTCAATGTTTGTACGTATGTAACAATACCGAAAAATCGCCGTATGATTGTTATATAGCAACATATTGAAAATTAAATTTATGCGATATTAAAATCGTTTCAAATGCCGTTATTACAATATATTACATACTGTCAATCAAATGCTTCTTGGCCCATATTTCTGGGTATGTTAAAAGAAAATTAGAAAAAAAAGAATAAGCTTATGTCAATAAAAAAACAGGAAACCCAAAAGAAAAATATTCCTGAGGAACTATGTTGTTTTTCTATTCCTTTATTTGCCTTCATTAAGAGTATAAAAAAAAATACAAACACGAAAATAGAATCACAATAATTGATTAATATAAGTAAATTTACTAAATTGTAATGATTTGATTCGTATTCGTTCACGACGAGATTTTTTTTTACGCAGTTGAATTTCAATTCGTTTTCTAGTTTTCTGTAGATAAATGAATTGGTATGTTATAGTTCCATTTACTTTCAATGTTCGAGACTGAATAATATCATTTTACAAAAAAAAAAAAAAGGAAAATTTTATTTGTTGCACATAATGAAGAAAGACATTCCTTAATCCTTGAATATGCCTTTTTATTATTTACTTTTGATCATTATGATTTATTTATGTTCGAGGATAAAAATCTTTAATTGATACGAAGGTATGAGCAAAGATGTTATAAAACTTGTTCAAAGAAAAGAAAACAAATCAACCAATTAAATCCGTATAATGATACAATGTCTAAAAGAAAATAAATTTGAGAGTAACCAACATATTCAAGAACATGAACATGATGATTATATCGATCATTCAAAGATTTATTTTTCTTTTTGCTGGTTTCTTTTCTTGTGTAATAGAAATCTAAAATAAACAAAAATATACATTCTTTTCTTTTTCTTATCTTTTCAGGATATCGATTCCAATTCAAATATATTATCATTGGGATAATCACAATTCAAAGTGGCTACATCGACATTATCACGAATAAATATTTCAACGGATGATGATGATGAAGAATTTTTTCAAACAGAAAATTTATCTAATAATGAAGATGATAAACAAAATTATCATGATTCAGCAATTTCATCAATTACTGATTTGACAAGTAATCAAACATCAAGTGAATTTAATTTAAGTACAAGAACAACTAGTCATTCATCCGAAATAAATTTACCTTATTCATCATTATCAATGGTTGCTATTAGTTCAAAACAAGCATCAGCTTCAACATTGATCATTAAAGAAGCAGATTATAAAAAATCCAAAAAAGGTGTACGAAATTTTTTACGAAAATTTTTTGGATCATCATCATCAAATTCATCACATCATCAAGAAAGAAAATCAATATCCATTGATTCACATAATATTCATAGTAGAGCATATTCATTGCCTGTTACACAAGGTCCTATTCGTTTATTCATAATTCGACATGGTGAAAGACTTGATCGATATTATTCATCACAATGGTTACAACAAGCATTTGATAAAGATGGAAATTTTTGTCGTTTTTCACCTATTTTATCGTAAGTTTATAAAAATTGAATATTACGAATTGATTCAATTCTTTTGTTTTTCTATCTCTCTCTCTCTCTCTCTCATTAGTTATTCCATGGTTATGAGCATAGATTTAATAGAAAATGCTTTAGGAAAAATAAATAATCAATTACCGAATGGTACAAAACTTCTGAATTAATTTTGTTTTCAATATATAGCATAAAAACAACACTCGTTATAGAAATTCAGTAGTTTTCTTATTAGAAAGAATAATGTCTCTACTATAAAGTGATGTAGAAATATTTTGTTACCCGAAGGCTAAAAGTTTTTAACAACATGTTTATCTGAAAAAAGTGTCTTGTAACTTCTCATTATACTGTTGATGAGAAATGAATTTAATCAATTTTTCTAACACTTGGCTTTCAAAATTGTTAGGCACATTATGTGTTAGTGTAACTAACACAATGCACTCTTTCTAGCGATATCAAAATATTTGAATTACAAAGCTAAATATTCTACAGAAAACTTATCTACAACATCCAAAGAAGCTTTTCTCATTATGTCTATTATACAATGTGATTTTGCAGAGAGTTGAATTCACTCTAATTAGGCATAAAATATGAAATTTTACGAACTTTGATTGCTGGAGAGAATCTTATTTTTCGAAAGCATTTATTAGTTGTGAATACTTTTCACTAGCAAAGACCGTTAGAAAAATATCGATAACTTGAAAATTTTACTTTTACCTGTTTATAAATCTCTATCGCAATACTACAAAATTTGATATAACATCAATTTTCTTAATGTATGTTTAGGGATATATAGTTTCAGCTTACTAACACACACAGATTCAGTGTACTAGTGTTCACTAAAGCATTTGAACACATCGCCATAAGAAAATACATTTTTTGATGGAGTTAGTGTCTCAATATTGCAGTGAACGTGGATATCAATGAATACCGATGGTAGTGTAATTGGTACCGGAATAAATCTTATATCAATGACTCACTGTTTATTATTCCGGTATTTACACCAATGTTGCATATTCCTAGTTATGTTTATGTTACGCGCATAAGAATATGGTTGAAAAAAATCAGAATGAAGAATTTTTGTTCTGCATATCTACTTTAAATATACACCTAATAATTATTTGAAAATTTCAAAATAAATCAACGAGTCTTTCTCGAGATGTTTAATTTCTAAATGGATTTGATTAGTATGTGTTTCTGTAATAAACAACTATCTTCTTTTTTTTTTTTTTTTTGAGAATTGATTATTTCGAAAAAGATTCATTCATTTCTTAGACATGTTCAAGACTTTTTAATAATTGTTAAAAATTTATCTATGTATAAAATTCTTAATTTTGGTGTTCTCGAAAACCTATTCTTAGTAATGATATTAACTCGACGAGTGTTTCACAATTGAAAGGCTTTCATATAAACAAATTAATTCATTTTTTTCTTGTTTATTACATAGAGAAACATTACCAGTACGTGCTGTAATCGGTGATTTTGATCTTGATCCTCCGCTCACATACAATGGTCTGAAAGATGCTTATCGAACTGGTAAATAAATTAAATTCATTATTTTCTTATTTCGTGTTGTTTTTTGTTTTTGATAAATAGGAATTGTATTAAAAGAAAAAAACATTGCTATTCATTACTGTTATTCATCACCTGCATTACGTTGTGTTCAAACCGCTGCAAAAATACTTGAAGGTTTACAATTGAATAATAAAATAAAAATTCGGTAATTATTGAATGAAAAAAAAAAAAAAAAAAAAATCAATTTTTATTATCTCTAGAATTGAGCCGGGTTTATTTGAATGTACTGCTTGGTATATCACAAATGAAAAAAGCAATGTATTAACAATGCCACAATTTATGACAAAAATTGAATTATTAGAAAATAAGTATCCTATTGATAAAAATTATCATGAACAAATGAATATTGTTGAAATATCTCAACTTGAAACGGAATTAGAATTTTATGAACGAAGTCATACAGTTACTTCAACTATTCTAAAAATGCATGAGAATGAATTTATTACACAAATACAACAAGGACAATTAACACTTCAAAATCAAATACATATTTTATTTATTGGTATAAACATTTATTTTCTTCTTTTTTTTTTTTCTATTTTAAATAATTAAAATGAAATATAATTTTTTTTTTAGCACATGCTCCTTCATTAGAAACATGTACACGTAAAATATGTGGTGGAAGATTTCGTCCATCATTATTAGCAAATGTTATTCGAAATGTTGATTATTTAACAGTAAATATTGAAAAATTTATTGTTCGAAAGAAAAAAAAAAACATTTTTTATTAATATGTAGATGACTGTTATTGAAAAAACGGATAATAATTGCGATAAATGGATATTTCGACGAAATTCATTTTATGGCGATGAATTTTAATTTTAATCTTTTTTTTTTGTGTATCTTCTTCTTTTTTTGTGTTTTGTATTTCATTACACAAGAAAAAAGTCAATAATTGAAAATTAATTTTAATCTTCTAGATAGAATGCCGTCCATATATTTGTGATATTTAACTAAATTAATAATCGAAAAACAAATAAAATGAGCAGTACAATGACAACAGAAAATAATCCCATACCCATTGCAAAAATGGTTAATGACTTATTCTTACAATGGCTTTCATTATCAGATACACGTACAACTCTATCTGCTGCATTACAAAGTGTTCGAACAAATAGTAAAACGCCAGAACCTATTGTTTATCCAAAGGTATGTGAATGTGTGTGCGTGTGTGTTTATATAAATTTCATTGATAAACAAACTTGTTTCTTTTATTGTAGACTCTTACAACACGTGGTGGATTTTCAAAATCACAACATTTTGATTCGCCACCCGTTTCACCAGTACCTCGAACACCATTAAGTCCACGTATTAGTTCATCAAATACTTTTTCAATTGGTGAAACTACTCCTGGTATAATTAGTCGTAGTGAAGAAAAAAAACAACGTTCGTCCAAGAAAATATCTACGGGAGTCAACGGTAATATTACTCCTATTATTGATCAACAACAAGTAAGTTCGTCTTGACCTTGTCTTGAGAAATGATTGTATTCGATACTTTAGTGTGTTCCTTTTCGTTTTTGGTATATGTCATATGTACATTGTACATAATACACAAAAATAGAAATCAGTCATGTAATTAGGTGAAGATAATTTCGATAAAGCAATACTCGGTGATAGAACATAGGAAAAAAGAATCATCACATTCATTGTTTATTGATGTTATAGAATATAGATCTGCATTTATACAGAATACAACTGATGATTGATTTTATTTTTCTTATTTCTTTTGAAATATATTAAGAAGTATCAAATATAAAAGTTAAATAAAATAGAAATCTATGCTTTCACTCAAGATGTGAAGAGTCTAATAATCACTAAGATATCTTGTCAAATGGTTCGTTCAATCATTTAAGCCTATTTTAATATACGAATCCATCGGAAATGCTAATAGAACAATATATTTTTTTGTAAACGATCTCGATCTTATGATCGACATTTTAATACCAGTCATAAAAATAGAAAACAGAATCAAGATATGTAATCCTTCTAAGTTCAATATCGATTATTGAATACATACACATTTTGTTATTTAAACTTTTTTTTGTACCATACTTTTTGCCTAAGAAAAATTTTCTAACTCTTCTCGTACTCTACCCTGTATACATCTCTAATTTAAACAATCAGCCATAGTTTTTTTTTCATCAACAATATCGATAAATGTTTTTTTGTTCATTCTTGAAGTAGTTTCATTATTAGTATCTAATTGAATTATTTTTATTATCATTTACTTATTCAAACTACTTTTTTTTTTAAATTAGGTATCTACAGAAAAAGTTTCAACTACAAAATTAACAAAATCCGAAACAATTCCATCTTCTCCTATAACATCAACAAGTAGTACTACAAATCGATCTTCAACTAAAACTACAAGTATACCATCAAAGGACATTCCATCAAAACAATCTCAAAAAACACCTATTTCACAATCACCAACAAATGTTCCAGTTGAACAATCTTTCAAACCAACAAATACTACATTTACTTCTATACTAGAACCATTGAATAATATTGTATCACCATCAGCTGTTACTACAACAAAAACACCAATATCATCATCATCTAATGAACAAGTAATACAACCAATATTAACACCATCGAAAACAACAACTCCAACTGTTGAACAAACAACATCAATAATTGTTAAAATTGAAGAAAAACAAAAACCCGTTGCAATTATTCCTAGATTTTATTTTTCTGATGAACATATTGCAACATCATCAACAAGGGATACAATATTTATTAAACAATTACGAAAAGTTCAAGATGAATTATTTATACCAAAACAAGATAAATTACATGCAGAAGATTTTGGAAAACTTGCTCAGGTATTTCAGCATAATTTTTAATTATGATAAATATTTTTTTTATATTTAAATACTTATTATGATATGTATATTCTTTTAGTTACTCGATTTGAGTTTATATTGGAAAGCACCATTATTTCGTGTATGTGTACAAGATGCTTTAGGATCACAAACAACAATAACATCAAATACAACTATTACTTATTCACAATTTGAATCATTTTGGAAAAAGTAAATAACTTATGACGTGAAAGTTTTGCCATAAAAATATTCACTACTTTTTTTGCTCTATCTGAAAATGTGTTCTAGAATTTCTTCCTGTGATAAGATTCGATAATTATCAAAATAGTTGTTGTACGGAATACTGTTTTGGTCAATTTTGTATTTCGATTGAATCCTATGAAATTTAAAAATATGAAATAGTTTTTAATGACTCAGTTTTGTAGAGTTGAAACAGCAATTGCCATAGAAACTAGAGCTGTCATAGGAAGAAATTCCCCTTAATGTAATATCACATTCTGTATAGAACTCAGTATTCTATAATAATGTCGCGTTGAAGTTGTTCCAAGACACAAAATAAGGACTGCACTATAACTATTATTTCTCTTTGTACAGACATAGTTTCGGACTTTCTCATAAAATTAACTGAAAGCTATTCAATCTTATCCTAGAAGAAAAATTTGGACATATGTTCAGAACATGAAATGGTAAGTTTCTATTTTCAGGGAATTCAAATGATATGACTATGAAAATAATTTCATGGAAATTTAATTCGATGCATTGAGACATGAGCACAGAAGATTGATTTTAATAAAATATTGCTTGAAAAAGACATCATATGATGGTCCAGACTATCATCGAAGTGCCAAATGACAGTCTGGACCACCATGTGATGTCTTCTCCCTATCAATATTTGAAACTTGATGTATGGGTTTTTGCTGCTCATAAGAAGAGCTCATTTTTCTAAAAAGAATGATGATATTTATAATAAAGATAGAACAAGTTATAGCCTTCAGATTATGACATAGAAGATCTTTATTTTTTTCAGAATTCCATTTACTAGATCAAGTTCCATCGTAAGAAATTCTCAGATCAACAAGTTCTATCAGACCATGTACGAAAGATGAACCAAGAGCACTAAAATTATGACGGATCATTTTGTGGACAAATATGTTCCCAGGTTCTTTCCTGACTGACCCAACCCGAAAAATATACATATCAGTTCTATATTGTTTTCTTATTAAAATGAATCTCGTTATCTCATCCAATGTCAAACTAAGAATTGAATGTGTAATATTGAATTTTAGTTACACATCATCGATATTTATCTAGATGCTTGCAGCCGTATTACTTAGTTTATATCGTTCATTATATAATGATGTGCAAAAATTTGAGTTTCCTAAAAATTAGAATATATCATGATCTGATGCTAACTAATTGTTTCTGGCTCTTAGTAGTCAAAAAAATGAGCGAATATTTTGTATTAAAACTTTTATGCCATGGATTATATATATATATATATATGTTTATTTCTATATTTGTTTAGAATATGTAAAAATAATCATGATAATGCATTAAAATTTATTTATTTACTTGTTCATTCATCTTCATCAACATTACCAACTAATCGTCAATATTTAACTGTTGATGATTGGGATTATTTTATACAAGATATAATAGATACACATCCTGGTCTAAAATTTCTTCGTGAAGCACATGAATTTCATTCAAGATATATTAAAACAGTTGTTGCACGAATTTTTTATAATTGTAATCGATCATGGTCAACAAAATTAACTATACAAGAATTGAGACGATCAAATTTTTTACAGGTAGAAAATCTTTTAAAATAATATTTATTCAATCGAAAAATAAATTATTAAAAAAGAAAATTCATCAATGAAATGCTAGAATTATTGTTATTGTTTTTAAATGCATATTGAAAGAAAAAATAATCATTTTTTTATTTCGAAAATTTCATTTAGTCTATACTTCTTCGATAAGTCAAATCATTTCGTCTATGCACATAAACAACAATAAGTGAGAATGTAATATCAAACGAATTAGCTTCTCGATAGAGTTACATATACAAGATTTGACAAAAGTTTTGTAACATTTTCTCTTTTACACATATTAGAGGCTGCAATATTTAATTCTCTACAAGTTTTTATTGGTATTAATATAAAACAACAGAAAAGAAACTTTTTATAGGCTGTATTCTGTGACTTAGCTCATGCAATTCGAGTTTCCACTAAATATTCTTTCAGCAGGATTTCTAAGTACTTGAAGAGTGAATTCCAAAATTATTCGACTCGATTTATTTTCAATTTTTTTCCACTGCCATCAACGCTAAGAAGAATACAAATAGTAATTTGAGTGGACGATACAATAAAATTTTTCGAAGATAGGATTTCTCAGAAATCACAAGTCAAACTTTTCTTCAGCTCCTAGAATTTGTAATCACAACACTGTTTGAATTATCTAGAATAATAAAGTAACCAATTCTCTACAAAATGAAACGTCTTCCAGCCTTCTTCAACGTTTTTTTTTTCACATCAACTTTAAGAAAGTCACAACATTCTTTTTGTTTTTTACTTCTATTTTGCCTAATTGTACAAATTTCCTAAACAAGTTTATAGTGACCTACGCATTTCGTTTCTATAATAATAATTAAATTATATCATTATTGAATATCTGCGAATTTTTTAAAATTTTATATTAAATGAAACATTTTATAGAAGTTTTAGAGTTTGTAAATGTTTCAACATGTTATTTGTTTTTTATCGATTTTATAAGAAATGATTGATCTATAATAAACTTTTTGTATTATTTATAGACTCTCGATCGACTTGAAGAAGAAGATGATATTAATCGTATACATGATTATTTTTCATATGAACATTTTTATGTTATTTATTGTAAATTTTGGGATATAGATTCTGATCATGATTTATTGATTAATCGTGATGATTTAGCTAAACATAATAATGGAAGTAAATATTTTTATTTTTAT